AAAATAACTACCCTCCTCTCTCTCTCTCTCTCTCTCTCTTTCTCGCGCTAAAACGTTCTGTGTCAAAAAAAAAAAGTCCTCTCTCCTATACGAACCGACTGTCTCCCTTTGCCCACGAGCCTCTCCATAAACCCTACACCCCCAAATCTCTCTCTACTCTCTCTCTCTCACTCTAAACAAAGTTTTTAGGGTTTTCAATCTTTGCTTTTCAACACCATAGATAAGGTTTCGGAAGAGGACAGCAAAACCCTTACAGAGAACAAACAAGGTAAGATTTTTTTTTTTTAGAATGGGAAAGGTAGCAGCTTCATTTTCTATTAATTTGTTTACTGATTTTGTCTCCCTCTTTCTTTCTTTTTTGGTGGTAAAGGCGGCACATTTTTTCTGCATGTTTTGTTTGCTGCATGTTTTGTTTGCTTCTAATTAGGCAAGGAAAGAAGACACGGGTTTTTTGTGTGTTTAAGTCAAAAATGTATTTCTAGGTTCTATGTTGTTGAAATCGAGCTTCGTTGAGTTTAGAGGCCAAATTTTGCTTCGGATTTTGGCTTTCTGGTTTCAATATCGAGCTTCTTTGAGTTTCTAGGGCAATCAGTCGTTTGAATTTGGGGTAAAGAACAAATCCTTGCTAGGGAAAGAATTCCTTGAAATTTAGGGGCAAGAAACACGTGTTCTGATTTTTTGGGGTTTATAGTGTGAGAGATCAGGCTTCATTCTGAAATTCATGGCAAAACTAGTCTTTAAAGGCTCAAGGATCCTCTTTTTTGACAGGTGGGATTCTCCATTGAGGCACTAAAAACAGGTTGATTTCGAAGAGATCTTATTGAAAATGGCAAAGCAAAAAGAGAGGAAATCTAATGCTAAAAAAGAGAGGAAATCTAATGTTTCTGGGAAGCCAAAGCATTCTCTTGATACAAACAGGGGAAATGGGTCCAGTGAAATGCGAAGCTCAGCAACTGTTCGTCGCCTCAAAATGTATAATTGCAGGCCAAAACGAGACAGTAAGGGAAAGATCCTAAAGCATGAGTTGCAATCAAAAGAGCTTCCCTCCACTAGGATTGAACCTGATCGCCGCTGGTTCGGTAAACGACAATATTCTTGAATATTCTTATTTTTTTGTTAAATATATTGTTTGTTTTAGTTTTAGTGTATCACGAGTTGAATTGGTTGGTTTGTTGATATATTTTCGTCTGGTTCGATAAGCTTTGATGTTTCAATAAGCTTTGATGTTCTTGAAAATCTCCGTAAATGTTGTTAATTTTATTTTTGAGTTTAGTTTTAGTTTTGGCATATCATGATTTTTAGTTGGTTGATATGCTTTCCTTGATATTAGGATCACTCCTCATCTTTCAGGTTCTTTGTGAACTTTGAGTTTTACTTTTGTTGTATCTTAAATTGAATTGGTGAACTTGTTGATATGCTTTCCTTGAGGTGGAATTACTCTTCTTGTTGTGAATCATCTTTTGTAAACTACATAATATATGTTCTTAAATGTTATGAGTGAACAAATGAAGAATCTTCTCAATGTTATTTTTTAATAATCAACTTTGAAATGTTGTTGTTCAAATATTTTCTGTCCAAACCTTGTCTATACTAAAAAATCATGCTATTGATCAAATGTCTGTGTGTTAGGCTTTGTCTATATGCAAAAATCTATGCTATTAATCAAATATCTTCTTATTGCACTCCTTTTGAACTTTAAAATTTAAACTCTTACCATTGCAGGACTTTCAATGAAAAGAAAGAACCATTCCACCATTGATATTAATAATATAAATCTCCTATTTCTATCTACTTAGGGAACACACGTGTGGTGGGTCAAAAAGAGCTAGAGACTTTTCGGGAAGAGCTTCAAAGCCGCTTATCTAGCAACTACAATGTTATTTTGAAGGAGAGGAAATTGCCTTTGTCTTTGTTAAATGATCATCAGAAGGTATGATGCCATTGATTTTAGAGCTTGACTTCTCATTGGCTCATGGGAATGTTCTGGGCTTGTTTGCAGTCAATGCTTTCAATGGATAGTCTTGCACTTCATTTGTGGATTTGAACCTTTTCTCATAGAATATTTGAACTCCCAATATCTTTACCTTGTGTTTTTCTATTGTCTGCGCATGAGTTCTTTCTTAAATGTCTAAAATTCATCATAATTTTTATTTGGTCGAGGCTTTCGAAGGGAAAAAAAAAAAGATGAATTCTAAATGGAATACTTCTTTAACATCTGTTTTGAAAAATCATCAGAGCATTCCCAAATGGGAGTTATGTGCTAGCTCCAATGTCTTTTTAAAAACCATCAATGCATTTTCAAATGGTTTCAAAGTTGGGTTTGTGATAGCTCCCAATGGGCACTAGGATCTGCAATTTTTAGTTTGGGCATTTGTTACTTTGAACAAGGTAGTTTGTTCATGTGGTTCAGTATGTCAATCTCTATGTGTTCATAGCAGAAACAAACTATACTTATGATTGTTGACCCTTTATCTTAAAGATTGAGATAGAAACTTCCTTTGGTTGCTAATCGGTTATTTCTGTGCAGCAAACTAGAGTTCATCTTCTCCAGACAGAGCCATTCACACACACCTTTGGACCTAAGGGGAAAAGGAAGCGTCCAAAGCATTTGGTATATGATTATGAGTCCTTGGTTTCAAGAGCAAATGATTCTCAAGGTATTGGTGTTTCTGAATCGTAAAATTGGGCATGGTTCTTCTTTTCTTTTTTTGATGAATTCATGATCTTTCTTGCTTCTTTTTTTTCTTTTTTGTTTCACAATTGATTTTCGTGGGTGTGTTTTTGTAATGGCTTCCCTGGTTTTGAAAATGTTCCCTTGTTTGTACACAATTGATAGATGTGGATGGCATGTTCAGTGGTTTGATGATAGCTTGTAGTGGTTCTTTGACATTTAATCAGGCAATGATATAACACTTCGACTCAAAATTGTACTCTTTAGTAAATGGATCCAATGGTTTTGTGACTGAACGGAAATTTGCGCTCATGAAATGAAGGAATTAGACCATCATTTTGCTGTCTCGTCTCTGCTGATCACAGCTCTGTTTTTTACATTGATTGAGTGTAGATTCCTCAAGTGACCACATAGTTTTGGAAGCTGGCAGTAGGTGGTTTGTATTTCTTCAGTCTCTGTATTATCCTTTCTATGGAGGTTGTGTAGTGGCTTCTACTAATGCACGGTCATAGTCAAGTGAGACCTCTATTAGTAACATTATGTAGGATTATGAGTCTCTATGTTATCCTTTCTATGGAGGTTGTGTAATGGCTTCTACTAAGGCATGGTTCACAGTCAAGTGAGACCTCTATTAGTAACATCATGTAGGATATCTACTCTCCTTAGTTTTTCCAAGAAATGGTTGACTTCTATTCTGGTTAGTTTACTTGTACCAAAAAAAAAGAGAGGAGGTCAAGTATCTACGTTGAAAATGTGTCACTTGAACGTCATCATCGAGGATGTATGCTTTGAAAGTATTCTACTTGAATCAAGTGGAGTCTGTAAAAATAGTTGCCATCACCCTACCTCCAAATTAGAGACCATCTCAGTTATTGACATTGTTTCCAAACTCTGGCTTACACTAGTTCCTTCTAGCATATTAGATTTGTGGTGCATCTGTGTATTTAATTATTGCGTCACTGATAGCTTTCTAGAAATTTGAATCAGAAATTTCTAATCTTACTAGATTTAAATGAAATTGTAGTTTCTATTTGAATGTTTTCCCTGGAGTTCCATGTGTTAATTTTTTCTTTTGCTCTTCCTTTCTCTTCTATTCTCAAGTTCCAGCCTCCTTTTATAGCTTCAGTTTACATTGGGATGATAATATTGCTTTGTGGCTTCGGTTTTTAGATACATTTGACGAAAAGTCAAATATGAAACCCATGGATGGAAATGGAGAAGATGGCTTTAGAGACTTGGTCAGGCATACCATGTTCGAAAAGGGTCAAAGCAAACGTATATGGGGGGAGCTCTACAAAGTTGTAGATTCATCAGATGTAGTTGTTCAAGTGAGTATTGTTGTTCAATATTCAGGAGATTTACCCGTCTTTCTTATGCTATGGCTAACAAAAATCATACATTGACTTCTCTAGTTATTTGTTTTTGATACTTGTCACTTGGAAATCATGAACTCCTTTTGTTTATTTTTATTTTTCAATTAATATTCTCCTCTAAACATAGATAGTAGTTCCTTAATTATCGGCTCTTTTTCTTTTTTATATTTCTAATTAATATTTTCTATTTTTCAAAGGAGTCCGTTGATCCACCACGAGTGCTATATGATACTTTGGTTAAGAATTACATTGCATGACATTTTTACTTTGACATGGGCAAATTGCTGTTAGTTCTAAAATGAACAGTTAACCACACCATATGGGCATGAGAATTGCTAAATAGCTTGCTTTTCTTGTTTTCTTTTCTAAAATGTAACCTCCTACTTTTTGTGGAGCTCCCTTGTTCACTAGATGTTTTTATGATTTTCTTGTTTTTGTTGGAATAATGGCACATGTTCTCTTTGCATTCTGTGCGACAAGTAAATATAATACTTGTTCTGATTTCAAATTGTTGACTCAGTTTTTTTTCTCTCTTTCTTTTCTTCCAGGTCTTGGACGCTAGAGATCCACAGGGTACAAGATGCTACCACTTAGAGAAGCATTTGAAAGAGAACTGCAAGCATAAGCATGTAATTCTTTTGCTAAACAAGGTTTGTGGAGTGAATGGATGTTATACTAAACAAAATGTTCTCAGCTCTTTTTTGTGTAACTTTAATGCTCTGACAAAGTATATGGTTATTTTTTTTTGGTTTAGTGTGACCTGGTCCCTGCTTGGGCTACGAAAGGCTGGTTGAGAGTGCTATCCCGTGAATATCCTACTCTTGCATTCCATGCAAGCGTCACCAAATCTTTCGGCAAGGTTTCTTTTTTTTTTCCCAAACTTTTTTCCATCTCACGAATTTATTTTGATTTAGTTAATGTGGTGACCATGATGATATCTGGATATTCAGCACTTGCTCCTTCTGCTTTTCAGGGCTCTCTTCTTTCAGTACTTAGGCAGTTTGCTCGTTTAAAAAGTGACAAACAAGCAATATCTGTGGGTTTCATAGGTTATCCTAATGTTGGGAAATCATCAGTCATTAACACACTGCGTACAAAGAAAGTAAACTTTTTCCTGTCTTCTTCAAAACCCCTCCAAATTTGGGCATCTTTCCTGTATGTATGAATTATGGCCCAGACTTCGCTTAACTTTTCGAATTATACTAAGGCATATGTTTTGCATTTTCTTTATAGGTATGTAAAGTAGCACCCATTCCTGGGGAGACAAAGGTGTGGCAGTATATAACACTTACAAAGAGAATTTTCTTGATTGACTGTCCTGGAGTCGTTTATCAGAATAAAGACACCGAAACAGATATTATACTAAAGGGTGTTGTAAGTATTAGTTGCTATTGTTATTCTAATGGTTAATTAGGATTTTTGTACCCTTTATACATTCACAGATGCCAGATACCGTATTCCTTGCTCTCCTGGGTCACCATGCTATCTTATTATGTCAATCTACTAATCAAGCTCTAATCAGTGTAAAAAAACAAGGACTCATGTTGGGACTCGCTCGTTCTCATTTGTTTGGCTCCAGACTCCGCCGCCTGCTCTCATGTGTTTAGTCATTGATTCAGCAGCCTGCGGAGTCCGAGTAACTTGGGCAAGTCCTAGTTGGACTCTCCGAGTTTTCGAACACTGTTTCTAATTATTGAATTTTTAGTTAACCATTGGGATTTTCACTTTAAACACTTTCTATAATGTAGAGGAACATTATATTATGTGCAGAGTGGTAATCTCCTTTGTGATAATTATATCATTGGTTGAATGGCCAGGTGAGGGTGGCAAACTTGGAAGATGCTTCTGAACACATTGGCGAAGTACTAAAACGTGTGAGGAAGGATCATCTACAAAGGGCATATAAACTAGAAGACTGGTAGGGTTTCTTTCGCATTTGTCCAATTCAATTGCAGTAGTATATGGTTTTAAATATCAAAGAAAAGTAATGGTATATCGTTTTTGCAAAGTTCGAATTATGTTTGGCTATTTATTAAATGTTCAATTATGCATGGCATTCCTCAATATTCAGTGTTGTTGTCCATTGTATTGACGTAACAAAGTTCAACTTAGCAGCATCTGGTCATTCTAGAGAGTTGTTCATTTGTCTCTACATTTTTGTCGGCAGATTAGTGTTTTCTTCATTGATGACACTTTTATGGGCTCTCTATTCAGATTACCAATTTTTTGCTCTCCACTGCTTCGTTGCAGGGTTGATGAGAATGACTTTCTCGTTCAGCTATGCAAACAATCGGGAAAGCTTTTGAAGGTGGGTTTCCAGCTCTGTAACTTGTCTATTCTTTTGTGATACCAGAATTGAGTTCTAGCTCCAATATATATCCTATTATTTTTTGACATTTGGGGTCTGTTTGATAGCATTCGATTATCTTGATATTCTAGAATATTATAGAATCAAATATAATTTTAATTATAGAAGTTACTGAAACATATTTGATAGCATTAAATCGTATGAGGATATATCCAAATAACCGTCTAATATCTTAATATTAAAAAATTCAAGTCTAAGTTGAAGTTTTGGGGATACTAAAAATTGTATTGCCGCTCATTCTATGCAATTAGCGCGCTCTCTCTCTCTCTCTCTCACAGCCTGGCCCTTTCTTCTCAGCCTGAACACCCTCTCTCTCGTCCAGCCCTCTCTCTGTCTTACCTTGGTGAAACACCACTATATATCACCTTGCTGCGTGTTTCTCACTCTAACCTTGATGCAACCAGCCAACCTCAAACCCACAAGCAGAAGAATGGAGCAAATTCTAAAGTGAATTAAAGATCTCCTTGGCTTCCCTCTTCTCCCCTTTAACAAAAGACCCAAGCTCCTGCTATTGTTGTTGTTCTTCTCTAATCTTCACAACCTTATTTGACCTTGCTCTTCTACCCCTGTTTTGGAGGTATTACGAGAGTCTGCCCCTAGTTTTTTAGAGAAGAGAGAGAGAGGAGGGGTGGAGCTTGGTCATTCTCGAGGGAGACTAACAAGGTTTACTCCAGTCTGCTGTGGAAGTTCTGTGCTAGTTGCTTGCTGCTCAGCAATTCTTGTCTCTTGCTGGTTTGTGTTTCAACCAAATTTCTACAAGCCGTGGGCAAACAGAAACTAGAGTGGCTGTCTCCTTCAGAGTTTCTTCGTGAGAGTTGACTTTCCTTTGAAGATATTTTGTTGCTATATTTGGATTGTTGTGACCCCATTTTGCCCCCCAAGAAACCAGCAGTCACGAACACAGGCCAAGGATTTTTTAGTAATGAAGTTAGTGGAGCAAACTCTTAACGGTGAAAAATCCTAGAACTCACTATAATCAGTAGGATTCCCAGATGGATTCAGTTGCAGGTGTTCTTTAACATGAACAGTGGGTCTACAAGAAAGCTCTGGTTTGTTCTTTTATAGCATGAACAGTTGGGAACAAAGGAAAGCTCCAGTTCAGAAGAAAGAGGACAAATGGTGCCCTAAAAAACCCAACCCAGTTTCTAAAGAGAGAGGACTCGTCGATAGCGTGGAACGAATGGATTAAAAAGCGTTGGGGTTGGGATTAGATGTAGTGGTTCATTCATCAGGAGCCCTTTTAATAATGCTGATGAACTTCTGGGATTCGAAATGGGGAGGAGGGGGCTTCTTTAACAGTAGTCATTGTTGTCGTTCCTTGAAACCTCAGCACCAAAGCTTGTCACCCAATATTTTTTTTATAAAATACGGCCAACACCCAATCTTCTTTATAAAATACAGCCAAACATGCAAAGAGAAATACTTTTCATGAAAATATATAATTCATATTATATGAAATGCGGGCAAATGACATTATTTAGATTTTTAAAAATTTGAATATTTGTATACTATTTTGTCAAACAGACCCTTGGTGTTCCTTGCTTCCATCTTGTTGCTTTAATTCTTCAAGGGAAAATTGTTATGTTAATGCGAATTTTACTTACTTGATGATGGCATGTGCATTATAATTGCATGTCTTTGTGGGTTATGTGGGTTTCTGCTACCATTTTCCCCATTAGACTGTGTGTGTGTGTATACATATATATTCAGTCGGATTATTCTTTTGACAAACTTCAACGTGGCGTATTTTGCTATTTTCAATGTGGACTGATCATTCTTATGGGTTGTTATTCTAGGGTGGTGAACCCGATTTGATGACTGCCGCAAAAATGGTCCTCCAGGACTGGCAGCGAGGTCGGATACCCTTCTTCGTACCCCCGCCCCCTCAAGAAGGTGACAAGATTCCCGAAAATGGGCATGTTTCTGGTGGCAGTATTCTCGAAAATGCCCCTGTTTCTGATGCAGTTGTTTCTAATGAGACCAAAGATACCAAAATAAGTGGCGACCCCGCATCAGCAGCCATGAAAGCCATAGCCAACATAATTGCATCACAACAGCTAAAGAGTGTCCCTGTTCAAAAGGACTTCTTCAGCCCTGATGAATTGGGTGGTGTTGATGACTCATCTATCACCAAAGGTAAGGAATTCAACCAGTTCAGTTGATATAAAATTTTGTCCCTTTAGGTACTTTTCCTTATGCATCTTCATGATAATACCCACACTTCTTTTTTCATGGATAACGAATGAAAATCCGAGAATAGCAGAGAGATCAAAGAACTAATTTAGTGATTGAAAATTAGATTGGGAATGTAATAAATCTAATAAATCTTGCTCCAATGGCTACTACAAATTCAACTAAAATTCTCAAAGAACTCGTAGTAATGCACTCTGAATGAAAACTGTAGTGGAATCGCTATTTATTGATTTTATTTGGATTCCTTTAATCCTAATTCTAATTCTGATATAAATACAACTCCTAATTGAGACTAAACTGTAAGTGACACTTCTACCCATATACAGAAGAAAGACCATTCTATCCATCTAAACCCATACTGCAACATCCAATGGGCAGATGTCAAAATTACTATTATTTTCAGAAAATATTTTCCGCTCTATATAACCTTACAAACACCTGCAAAGCTTTGAATGCAGCCCCCGAAGTTTGGTATGTGAAACCTGCCTATGTCATTCATTATGAGTACTTGATGGTATATTTGATGAAATGCTTTGCCTCTCTGTGTGTGTGTGTGTGTGTGTGAGAGAGAGAGAGAGAGAGAGAGAGAGAGAGAGAGAGTGTGTGTGTGAATATATATATATATATATATATATTTTTTTTTTTTTTGCGTAGAGTGACAAGAAGGGTGGGGGATGTGTGGGGGGGTTGAGTGCCCACAGATACGAACCCAATACCTAGATGTACGTTGATCACATGCTGCCATGTCGGCAACTTTAGCCATCAAGATGAGTAATGTGTGGCATTTACTGCATAGTCATTTACTAAATGGACACAAGTTTCACTGAATTTTTCTCCTTTTCTTCTGCCTATTGTGGATTCGTAACTCAAATGCTCCATGTTTCACTAGTACGCTTAGTTTCTCGGTATTGTTTACTATTAGAGCGTTTACCTTTTGTGCAAAGAGGTCACAATAACCCGTAGCTGTCAGATAGAAGATCTGACAGCTTGGGTATATCACAAAGTTCGAAAAAATTTATTTTGAAACTTTAAGCCTTGTCAAAGGAATGAACATAGGCACCCATTTTCATATCCAAGGTCAAGATCAATTTTGCCCATCAATGTCATCATCATCGTTGAAGTTTTTTCCTAATTAGTTGGGGTTGGCTAAATTTGTCCTCCATATACCAAATATAGTTGGTTGTATCATATATGTTTCCAATTTTTTTTTGCATTTTCTGCTGCTTATTCCTTGTTACTTCATTTGCCATTTTCATGTGAACAGATGAGCTGAATGAGGATGGATTGGCAGGCCGAAGGCGCAAGTTTGACGCAGAATTGAAGCAGGGTAAAGGCGGTAATGAGAAGCTCACAGTGGAAGAGAATCCAAGTGAGAGATTGGTTGGTAGAAAGCGGAAGTTAGAGAGAGAAGATGAGAGTGATGGCGAGAAGTTGACAATGATTCACAAAGAGAGAAAGTTGGAAAAGGCGGAAGGCGATGACAATGAGAACTTGACATGGGAAGAGGTACTTGAGAATGTGAAGGCTGCCATGGCTGAGAGAGCTGAGACATGAGGTCCAACCATTCGGGCTAAATTTTGCTTGGGGTACCCTTGTTTTTCTTCCTGTGTATTTAAGTGCTTATATCCTTTTGTTTTTCCAGCCGACCTCAATTAATTGGGAAAAGGCTATGATGATGTTGATCTCTTTCTTTTTTCTGTTTTGTTGCGGTCTCTGACTTGTGGATGGTTCAGATTTTGGATTGTCAGAATGAATCGTCCGTATACAGTGGAGTGATAGTTAGGGGGTTTCCTTTCCCTTAAGTAGGAGTTTCTTCTTGGTTCTTGCATGGAAGGAATCCATGAATGTTCAAAATCAGGAGGGAACATGTAACAGTAACGATCGTATTTATTCTTACATTCTTTGTGACTTAATTACATGGCTATATAAAATCTCAACTAAAAAATAGTTTTAAGTTCTTTTGACTCTCTCTAGTGCCTTCCGAATCCAATCCAAAGAGGAGTCCCTTAAAAATTTGTATTTACTCTTGTATTCAATGTAGAATATAATCCAATAAAACTCTCTCTAAATAAGAATTTTGTGTGCACGTATACATTAAATATTATTTATAGACTAATATAAAGAAATCTTTCTAGTGGTATATGCCTGTGAATGGACAGCTGATGTGATCTTATGCACGGTTTTATTTTTAATTTTTTTTTCACTATCTATAATGTACATTCAAATGTTTGGGATATATAGTCGTTGGGGAAGTCTAAAGGGTCTACGTACAGGGGGGATTAGGG